TTATGGTATTTTTTTATTAAAAAAAAAAAAAAAAAAAAAAAAAAAAAAAAAAAAATAAGGAATATTAATAGGCTATATAGTATACGAGAAGAAATAAAAACAAAATTTAATTTTCTTTTTGCAACATGGGACGGCGAGTAAAAGACAACACTACTGGTTTGCTAGTAATCTATCTTTATTTTCTTTCTAATAAAAGTCCGACATGATTAATAAAACTGATTCGCATATACTTTGTTGCACTTTTGTTACTTTTTGTCCTCGCGGGTATGACATTTGTCTCAAATTTGTCGTGTCAAAAAGGTTGTGTATTTTCTGTCGCCTTGGTCAGGAACCGGCACACAGTGGGCAAAAAATCCAGAAGTTATGTGCCAAAAAGCTTTTTTACGATTTCATTCAAATTTGGTAAAACCATTCTATGCCAGTAGCCCGTGAACCCAGTTAGTTTTGGCTGACTTGAGAGTGGTGGGGGGTGGTGGGAGGGATTCATAAAATGGGAAAAATCATCTATTGACTAATACGACAGCTACCAAAAGGCGGTTTAAGAATATTACATTTTCACTTAAAATTTTTATGATATTTTTTGGCAAGAGCCAAGATAAAACAGACAAATATTGAACAATTATTACTCCTCCGGCATATACAGGGTTTGTTTGATATATTGACAATCTTTGTATCTTTTTTATTCGATGTTTTCGAAAAAAGTGTCTTGAATAAAAGTTTAATTGTCTCGAATACATTTTTCAAAACAGTCTTCTTTGCATATACAGGTGCCTTAGAAATCCTGTGCGTGGCGCCGCAACTTTTCTTATTTCAAATTTTAGTACCCAATTTTTTATTTTGATTTTTATTCTCTAAAAATACCTAACTACTTCTATGTAGCTAGCCTATACCTAATTTGAAATAAGATAGTTGAACCACGCCCAGACTTTTTTGAAGCACTTTGTATATGCAAAATAGACTTTTTTTTGCAAATTATTTCAAAAACTACTTTTTCATTTGGAGACAGTTTTTCGGAAGCGTCCAAATTAAAAAAAGATTAAATGGGTGTCAATGATAAAGAAAACCCTGACTATACTAATCCAATCTATTCAAGATTGTTTGTCATTTCAATAAGTTGTGTCTCTAATAATACCAGACAATATGTGAACAATATTTTATTATTATTATTTTTAAATAAGTAACCATATTCTGGAATTTTCTTTAAAAATTATCTAAGTTTAAGTTTTTACCATTTACTACTTTTTACTGATATTTTGTTTTTATAACAGCTGGAGGCAATCAATGGTCACGAAGTGTACATTTTAAAATCTGAAAAAAATCTATTTCATTTAAATTAAAAAAATTTAGTTTTTTTTTTTAATTTACCCTGTATATCCATATATGTATGTCATTTGACATTTATGACATACCTCTTCGGAAATCTTGAGAAAAATTACGTAACTTTATATTTTCAAAGTTCTTCTCTAGCTACTATAACAATTAATTTATGAGAAATATCCACATAAAGGATCTTACCATTTAACCCCAAAAACCCATACGCATGAGGCTTACGCTTAATAAATTTTAATGTTTGTGTTATTTTTGCGATTTTTTTTGAACTCAACTTTTCTAAGGCAGAATATATTGCACTATGCAAAAAAAAACCTTAAATGATTTTGTTCTACTTGACCTTTACCTTTAGTTTTATCCAAAAAAATCAAAATAAAAAGATACTTTTTTACTTACCTTGACATTAAATTTACCGCAACCGGGAATCTACGTAAAACACGTTATGACAATTTCACAATAATTATTGACAGCAAGCTAAGGTCGTCCGATTCAATTGTTATAATACTGTGTCACTTGAATGCAACGCCTCTATTAAAAAAATTGTAGAAAAAAGCATGGTACAAAGAATAGAAGGTATGATATTGCGCAGGTTCGTCGCTACGTCACAGGTGATAACAGGCGCTATTGGTCAGCACGCTCCGCGCGCCAGTTCAAATCGTCAAGATATTGTCACAGATATTGTTATAAACCTGTTCTTTTGTTTATATACCGTCAATGAACTGTCGCTAAGCAAGTTACTGTGGAGCAGTGCGTAAGGAGTCGGGCTAGAAAGCGAGAGACCGGAGTTCGTATCGCGACCGAGACATTAACTTTTTATTTATTTTTTTTAATACTGTTGTATTCTTATAGTTTTATTTTTTGTAGTATTTTAAAAAAGAACTTATTTTTCTGCTTATTTTTTTAATCTCCGTTATTAATATTAAATTTGGATTTAGTACAATTACCTCATTTAATATTAAATTAATATTCTACTTTTTTGAAATGTATCGGGGCCCTAATGGTACCTAAAAAGTAATATATTTTTATGATATTTAACATATTGTAAACTATTTAATTTTTTCAGTTCACTTAAAAAGTTAATTCTTTGCATTGATTAATTGCCTACCATTAAAGGAATTTGAGCTATATAATCCTTGATGGACATATTCTCGGTATGCAAATACTTCCTATAAATTTTGGGTTTCGTTAAACCGATTTATTCTCAAAACCAGAAAACATTTTACATATAAAAAGAAGCACAGGTCACTAATTTAATAATAAAACTTCATCCTTGGTATTACTTCAACTAATTTATTAATAAACTTTTTTTTAAATATTTCATCTATTCACATTACAATACGTTCATCTGCATTGGCATTTTCTACTTTTCGATGGGAAACAATAAACTTTCCCAAACATTTTTTAAATGAGTGTAACAATGTCCTCTATATGTGTTACTTTTCCATAGATATCCTCAACTCTGTCCTCATGTGGATTCAGAGGCAATGCAAAATGAAATTATTTACCATAAACATCGCAAACTAAAAACCTAATACAACATTTTTATACCGAATTATAGAAATAAATTTAGTGTTCTTACCTATTATCGTCCAAATCCATGTTAATTAGATAATTTTATTTTTAAATTATTTTGAAAAAAAAAATTTTGTAATTATTAAATTAAACGAACTTAAAAATGTCTTTTAAAAATAAAAACAATTTCTTAACCATACCCCAAAAAAATGCAGATCTCCTGTCAACTTTCTTTTATTTTTTTATTTATACATTATTTTCCTAGTGACGTCACAGGTGGTATGCGCGGACTGAACGAAATTGGAGCCGGTATCGTATTCATACCTTGTATTCTTGTACCATGTAGAAAAAGGCAGTTATTGGACACAAATTAACTGAGAATGTAGGTTTTGCGCAAAGTTCGTTTTACAGCCCCTCGGAAGAGACTCCGAATATGTTTTTTTGTTAGTTTTATGTGGTTTCCTCTTAACTAATATGTTTCCAAAATAATGTTATTGCCATAAATTCTAACTGTGGATGTTATTTTTTGCAACTTTAGTTTAGGAGATATTTGCCTACTGTGCGGCATTAGAAACGATCCGAGAATATACTGTCAAATTGGGAACATACCTACATATGTTTTTTAAACTATCAAAGATGTCAAAGTTTCAACGCTTGTTTACTTTTGATGATATATACCATATTTCTTGATAAAATTTATATTATTCTCTAAAATTTGTCCTAAACAACATGAGGCACACAACGAACGATTTTTTTAATATATGCGGTACAAAATCGCAAATTTAAAGAAAATTTAAAAATAAACTGGGCAACGTCTTGCTTCTAACTATGGAAAGCCCCGTATGACGTTGAAAATCCGTATCGCTTTATTTTCATTCATGAGTAAAATATCTACTACGTCACTTGTTGATTGATTTTAGAAACTGTTTTTGATTTCTAGTTTGTTTATGAATGTAATAATAGGAAGAATATTACTTACTACTCGATATATATATATTACAAAAAGATTCGCAAGAATGTCCTCAGGCCTTTCATACATTGACGTTCCCGAAAATTGCCAGCCTAGTAATTTGTTTAAACAATGGGCTTATCTCTCTCTTTTT